GAAACCCAAGAAGGGGTTGCTATGAGTCAGATCCGACTGGGTGGCATTGAGTTTGTTTTTTGTGTTTTTTATTTTAGTTAACAAAACCTGCTAAGCAATCTTCTTTTCCTTTAAATGCTTTTGATACTATATAGCCAGTGCTTAATTTGTTTGAACAGTATGAAAATTGAAAGTATTTGTCCAGTTTTTTGGAACTCTGGTAGGTACTGCCTAAGGCACTTGACTGTTAACCAGAAGGCTGGTGGTTCAAACCCACCAGCCACTCCTCGGAAGGAAGGTTGGGCAATATACTTCCATAGGGATGGTGTTGTTGTTATGTGCCGTTGAGTCGGACCCGACTCATAGCAACCCCTCCTTGGGTTTCCGAGGCATTATCACTATGGAAGTAGATTGCCCCAACCGTCCTCCGGAGGAGTGGCTCGTGAATTTGAACTGCCAGCCTTCCGGTTAGCAGTCATGTGCCTTAGGCACTATGCTACCAGAGCTCCTTAATATAAGCTTTTAGTACTATAAATTTCCCTCTTAGCATTGCTTTGGCTATATTCCACATAATGTTGTATGTTATATTTTCATTCAGTTCTGTGTGTGTTTTTAAGAGACTTTCTTCTTGACCCATGGATTATTTAGAAATGTGTGTTTATATTTCCTCAGGTCTGGAGATTTTCCTTTTATTTTTTTGTTACAGATTTCTGGTTGGATTGCATTATGGTCAGAGAACACACTGTATGATTTTAGTTTGTTTTTTTTTTTAATTGTTTGAGGTTTATTTGTGGCCAAGAATATGGTTTATGAAGTTTCCATGGGTACTTGAAAACATAAGTTCTGCTGTTGTATGGTTTAGTGTTCTATATGTCAACTGATTGATTGTGTTGTTCAGATCTTCGATATCCTTACTGATTTTCTGTCAAGTGATTCTATCAGTTGTTGAGATGTGGATGGTACAGTCTCCCACTATAATTTTTCTATTTCTCCTTTCAGCTTTATCAAGTTTTGCTTCATATATTTTGAGATTCTATTGTTTGGCGTGGCATGTACGCATTCAGGATCATTACATATTCCTGGTGTATTGATCTTTTTATCGTGTTATGTCCCTTTGCTCTGAAGTCTGCTTTATCTGATATCAATATACAGCTCCTGCTTTTTCATCCAATCTGTATTGATAATGATATATATACTGATTTTCTCTTGAATTCCCTCCTGTTAAAATAAATATTTTTGCTCCTAAGAAAGGGCAACTTTTCTACTTGTATATGGACTTGTTCATCACATTCCACTTCTTCAAGGACATCACATCCCCAGTTTTCTCCATTCCTAGTCAGTTTGTTCTATCTTCTGCATCTTTAATCTTCTTTTCTACCAACAAAACTCCCAACATATTCTAGAATCTTTTGCTTAAATAACAAAACAAACAACAAAACTTCCTTCCAGTCACACCCCCTCCAGCCCTATTTCTGTGTTCCTTGTCACAAGAGTTATTTGTATTCACTGCCTTCACTTCTTTATCTCCCATTCACTCTTTCACTCTTTAGCCCACTTTAGCCCACTAGCTTCTAGTGCTATCCTTCTACTGAAAGAGCTGTTGTTGGGTTATCAGCAACCTATATGTTGTCAAATGTAACACTCACTTCTGTGTCCTCATTATACTAGCCCTCTCATAGTTGATCACATATCTCCTTAAAGCTGACCTGCCTTTGTAAAACTTAGGGCCTGTAGGAGCACAGTATTTCCAGCAAGCAAGATGTCAGGAGAGAGGATGGGACTAATCAAAACGTCTATTTCCTACTCTTAAAATTACCAGCTAAAAAGATCTTTCCTCCCATGGGGAAGAGAAGATGGAAAAATAGACCAGAAGTATTTCTCTAGTGGATTTCCTCCACCTTGAAGTGGTGGGTAAGTGTTCCGCCAACAGAAAGCTTCCTGCAGTTTTCATTCTGTGATCTCCTGTCTCTTTCTGGTAGCTTGTGTATAGCTGATTTTTCTGTCTGAATGAAATTTTGAAGTACAATCTGATATAAATCCCTAATGAAATCTTAAATATGTATTTAATGAAATGATTAATTTGTAAATTTCATAAGTTTAAAATTTAGTCCTTGCAAAATATGTTAGAAATTAATGCTAGTATTTATAGTAATTTTTTCTTGTTTTTTGAAAAAATTATTTTTTCTTTTCTTCTTATAAAATGATTGCTTTTTTAAAAACTATTCATCATAAAAGTGGGATAGTACTTAGAAACAGTGAAATTTAACAAGATAGTTGTTGAGTAACAGTTGTCTTTTCCATATAATTTAGATAAAGCTTTATTAAAGAGCCTTGTACTATGCACTAAAGGATAATTGAATTTTTGATATAACAGAAGAGCTTAATTTCACATGAGAAAAAATAATTTGTTCTCTAATTTTGGGAACTAAATGATAACCTTCTTTCCCTTGCCTTCTTACTTATTCTAGTTCCTTTTTTACTTTATTTATGAAAGTAGTTACACGCACATCTTTTCCTTAATGAATTTCCTTCCCATATCAGTAGTAAAACTCTTAAGAATTGTAGTCAATTTGTAGGTGGAAATCCAGGCATGGATTTAAGTCAGGCTTGGGAATTTTTAGTTTAGGATCTTTGCCTTTTTAGGTAGCCTTAAAAAAAATAATAATAATAATAATAATTTATCTTGGGGTAAATTTATATAACAAAAAAGTTTGCTATTTTAACCATTTTTAAGTGTACAGTTCAGATACCTTCATTTCATTCACCATGTTGTGCTACTGTCATCACTGTTTTTACCAAAAGTTTTATATCACCCCAAATAGAAACTCAGTACCTTCAACAATAACTCACTCCCTTCTCTCCTGGCAAATATTTGCCTGGCAAATAGTAATAAGCTTTGGCCTCTCTGCATTTGCCCAGTTCTAGATATTTTATATACATGGGTTTGTATAATATATGTCCTTTTGTGCCTGACTTATTTTACTCAGCACAATGTGTTCAGGGTTCATCCATGATGTGGCATGCACCAGGACTTTATTTCTCTTTATGGCCGAGTAATATTCTGTTGTGTGTATATACCACATTTAGTTTATCCATTCTTCTGTTGATGGATGCTTGGTTGTTCATGGGCTTTTGATATAGAAGTTTGCATGGGTTGTCTAAACACAAGAGATTCTTGATACTTTAAATTTCTTTATACTTTCCATCATTCTTCTAATTCTGTTTACCATAAGTTTAACAAGCAGCTGCTAAGCTTCTGCTAAGTGTGAAGCACTTTGAAATTGGTGGCAAGCCAAGATAGATCTCTTTTAAGAGTTTACATTCAGATGGGGGAGACAGACTGGTAACGTGTTCTTAAGCATGGTAATAGTATCATGGAAAGAGTGGAGTTGAAAAATGTGTAGAATTTTCATTAGTTCAACAATCTAAGACTTAGGGGATTTACATAGACATTTTTTCCTGAAGTAATTGAAAGAATAGGATAAGGACATTCCAGGTAGAAGGAAAAAATACACAAAGTATAGAAGTAGTAACCATAGCTATCACTCATTGAGTTCCTTTTATAATGCCAGCTACTGTGAAAGATATCCTTTTTACATTTCTACAAATAGCAGTTACATGAATTGGTGTTAGTATGGAAGCAGAAGAGTAGGGAAGGTTAAGTAATTTGCATGAAGTTACACAGCTATCAAGTGGCAGAGCTGGGATTTGAATTCAGGTGTTCTGTTTCTAGAGTCCAACTATAATCTTTTGCTCTATTTTCTTCTGTAATAGGAGGGATAGGGGTGGTTATGAGAATTAATGAATTAGCAAAATTAGGAATAGGTATTGCCAGCATGAGGATAACCTTGAAGATGATTTGGGAGCTCAAAATGGAGGAAATTTCTCCCAAACCTCTCATTTTTAAAGTCTGCTGCCCTCTACCTTCTATGACTGTTTTTGATGCCATAATACCTGTTATTCTGTCTTTGGAAATAAAGTTTCATATGATAAAATGTGAGATTAGAACACATTTGTAAGGATGTACACCTGACCATTTCATTGGATTGCATATAAATGATGAAACTCACACTTAACTAGCACAAACACAATTTAGATTTAAGGATAGAGAAAGAATTATTTTTACAGAAGAACCTGAGATTCCTTCTTAGCTCTAAGAATATGGCCATGGAAAAGATTTTTAATAAAAGAAGCTAAGGATTTTATTATTTGTGGCATGCATTGTATAAGACATCAACTTCAGCAAGGCATGATGAATTTAACAGGATATATATTCAACACAATACATCTGAATACATTCAACTTTCTCATATTCTATGATGAATGGCCTTTATGGCAGTCATAGTGTAGGCATACCCATGAACCTCATTACATCCCATATCATCCTTGAAGAATACAGGACTAAAAGTGCAGCCCAGGCTTTGCTACTTAGTATAGGATCTTGACTAAGTCACTTTACTTTTCTGGCCCATAGGGCTAGCAACATTAGTTGCCTCAAAAGGTACTATAAAGACAAAATGAAATATGTGTGAAGAGTGAGTTGAAAATCAGTGTAAGAAAGTAGCATTAACGGTTTCTACTTTGTAATTTGATACTAACACAAAGTACCATGGATTAAAACTATGTCTTAGTTTCTTCAGCCTTAATATGAGGATGATAATAGTCCCTGGGTGGCACAGATGGTTAAGTGCTCACCTACTAGCTGAAAAGTTGGCAGTTTGAACCCACCCAGAGGCACCTCAGAAAAAGGCCTGGAGATATGCTTCCAAAAGATAACAACCTTGAAAACCCTGTGGAGCAGTTCTTTGCACACATGGCGTTGCCATGAGTCTGACTCTGAATCAGTTCCATAGTAACTAACAACAACAGCAATGGTATCTACCTCAAAAGTTTGAAGAATAAATAGGCTATAATTTTTAAAGTGTTAAGAACAGTACCTAGCTCATAGAATGTGCTAAATAAGTATTGTTTTTGTTGTTATTTCATAATTATACCCTAACATACACCTTTTTATCTATCAGATATATCCAACATAGTGCTGATTATAGACAAAAGGGTATTCCTAGAAGTTTTACCGTAACTTAGTATTTTAATAAATGCAGAATGACTCTAAAATATGCTTTATACTCTCTTCCACACCTGTCACAGAGTTTTCTCTGTTGTGATGGCGTTATATTTTTTTTATTAGAGGAAAGATGGCACAATGTCTTAACGTTTTAGAAATGTATAGTTGATTTTTCCCCTCCCAAGAAGGTATTTCACCATTAATACACATTCTGTGTGTAACTAAAAAACTGCGTGGCAGATCTCATTAAAAATTAAAGGTGTCTCTCAGAAGTACAAATTAGAATTGAACATCCCTATTTATGCCCTCATGGTACCCCATGTGTACTTCCATTATAGCACCTACAATACTTTATTGTACTTGTTTTCTTTTTTTTTTTTTTTTTTTTTTT